GTACTTGGGCCATCGTCCATTGCTTTCCAAGGCCATCAGCAGGGAGTTGGATCAGAAGTGAAACAGCCAGGACTCGAACCAGCGCCCATATGGGATGCTGGCACTGCAGGCAGAGGCTTAACCTACTACACCACAGTGCCAGCCCCACTGGTGTTTAAAAGCTGGTTCATCAGACGAATCCAAAGGTAAAAACACATGCTAGGGGGTCGGGGCAGAGGGGTCTCACCCAAAAGTGAGGTCCTTGGTGCCAGTAATCAGGAAGACTGGTCGGCCCTCACACAGCTGACAGCACAGATACCAGGCTGACTGCGAGTGTTAATCCATTCCTCCTCCAGTGGCAGCTTTTCAGCATCTCTGCTGTGCGCGGAGTGAGAAAGCATCTTCCTCTGACTTGCCCAGGGAGATAAGAGAGGGCCTGGGCGGAGGCACCCATGGGGCTTTGGGCTAGTGCCTTGCTAGGAAGCTGTGCCAAGGGATCTGCCTGTCTCCAGGCTGGAGTTTGCTATTTGAGCCAGGCTTCCAGCCTAGAGTGAGGCTGGCAGGGTTGGGATCAGAACTCCTGGGCTAGGTCAGCCAAGCCGTCTTTGTACTTCTGCTTTTTGCCTCCGTTTATTTTCACTTTGTTCTCCCTTGGTGTCTAGCTAAGTCTTTTATAAGTGCCGTACAGGGGTGGGAGTTTTGCATAGCAGCTACAACACCAGTTGGGATGCCTGTGTCCCATATCAGACTGTCTGGGTTCAAGGCCAGTCCTCTGCTCCTGACTCCAGCTCCCAAATGCAGACCTGGGAGTCAGCATAAAGGCTCCAGTAGTTGGGTCCCTGTCACCCAAGTGGGAGACCTGGGTTCAGCTGGCGACTGGCCAGCCCATTCCCAGATGTGCTAAGCATTTGGAGAATGAACCAGCAAGTAGGAGAGTTTCTCTCTCTCTCTCTCTCTCTCTCTCTCTCTGCTTCTCAATAAATAATAAAATAAAAGTGCTGTACAAAAGGGACAGAGGTGCTAGTGTTTGCAGCCACCTAGCATACCCCTAGTGGCTACTATAGTGAACCCAGGCATGAAAAATTAGGTGCCCAGGGTAGTGGTCCTCAGTCGCCCCTTAGAGGGCATTTTAGAAATTAGTTGGGATATCTCTACTTAGACAGTGATTAAGAGGAACTTTGAGAGGTGAGTGGAAGCCTCGAAAGGGAGAGAAGTTTTTTAAAAAAAGATTTATTTACTTATTTGAAAGGCAAAGTTACAGAGAGAGAGGGATGGAGAGAGAGACAGACAGAGAGAGAGAGAGAGACATCTTCTGTCCACTGGTTTACTCCCTAAATGACTGCAACAGCCAGGAATGGGCCCTGTTGAAGCCAAGAACCAAGAACTCCATCTGGGTCTTACTCATGGGAGGTTGGGCCCAAGTACCTGAGCCATTATCTGCTGTCTTCCCAGCCACATTAGCAGGGTGTTGGATCAGAAATGGAGCCGCCGGGACTCAAACCAATACTCACATAAGATGCTGCTGTTTCAAGCTATGCCTTTTTTTTTTTTTTTTTTTTAGATTTATTTATTTGAAAGTCAGAGTTATACAGAAAAAGGAGAGGCAGAGAGAGAGAGGTCTTCCATCTGCTAGGTCACTCCCCAACTGGCTGCAATGGCCGGAGCTGTGCCAATCCGAAGCCAGGAGCCAGGAGCTTCTTCCCGGTCTCCATGCTGGTGCAGGGGCCCAAGGACTTGGGCCATCTTCTACTGCTTTCCCAGGCCATACCAGAGAGCTGGATCGGAAGTGGAGCAGCCGGGTCATGAACCAGTTCTCATATGGGATGCCGTCACTTCAGGCCAGGGCGTTAATCCGCTGTGCCACAGCACTGGCCCCCAGGCTATGCCTTAATCTGCGGTGTCACAGCACCAGCCCCAAAGGGGAGATTCTGTAAGGTGCACAACGTTCCCGCACCAAGAAGACTCACTGCTCATTTCATTTGCCTTTGGAATATTCTGGTTAACAATGTATGGAAATATAAGATTAAATATATATAAATCAGGGCTGGCACCGCGGCTCACTAGGCTAATCCTCTGCCTTGTGGCGCCGGCACACCAGGTTCTAGTCCCGGTTGGGGCGCCGGATTCTGTCCCGGTTGCCCCTCTTCAAGGCCAGCTCTCTGCTGTGGCCAGGGAGTGCAGTGGAGGATGGCCCAAGTGCTTGGGCCCTGCACCCCATGGGAGACCAGGAGAAACACCTGGCTCCTGCCATTGGATCAGTGCGGTGCGCCGGCCGCAGCGCGCCAGCCGTGGCGGCCATTGGAGGGTGAACCAACGGCAAAGGAAGACCTTTCTCTCTGTCTCTTTCTCACTGTCCATTCTGCCTGTCAAAAAAAAAAAAAAATATATATATATATATATATATAAATCAGTAGGAATTTATCATGCAGTATTGCAGAAAAGGCCCTAAAAGTTCTTAGAAAAAGCCCAGATATTCAGATATTATGGAGAAGGAAACAGCCAAATATATTGTCTCTGGCAAAGGAAAAAAACAAATATATAACAAATTCAGTTATAAATTGAACTGGCTTTTGTTTGCAATTCGTGAATGGGGCAGCCCCTAGTCTACCAAGTAGAATGAAAGTTTCCAGCTGGGTGGTAGCAATACAATGGGTTTTGTGAGCTGGAAACAAGGCTGTAAAACAATAGAACAACTTGGTTAACATCCTGTTACTTTTTTGTAAGGGTTGAAGTGGAGGGGACTTCCTCAGTGTGCTCACTCAGACAGCCTGGAACTTTCGGTTCCATTTGGGAGTCAGCTGCTTCCTTAAAGATTCAGTCCAGTGGTGTGGCGCTCAGCACCTGTGACTCCTGCTCTGCTCGGGCCCGGTGGGGCCGACAGACACAGTGGCCTCTGCGACTGTGTTTAGCATTTGGAAATGCTCACGTTCTGTCTGCCCAGCGTGTTAGAGCATTCTCACCGCCGTCACGTATGTAGTAGAAAGAGTTTTGAAGCAGTAGCTCAGCTCCGACAAAAGCAGTAAAAATGTTTTCCAGCTTGGCTGAGGCGTAATTCACATACCACACAGCGATTTCCTTTCAAGTGTGCCATGCCATGATTGTTATCAAATTTACTGAGTTGTGCAACAGGTAGTCACCGTTCCCACTCCAGCCCCAGGCGTGCAGATTGGCCTGTGCGAGGATTTCGCAGGAACAGAATTGCACACTGCGTGCTCCTCTGTGTCTGCCTGCTTTCCCTGGCCGTATTAGTCCTGAGGTTCCGCAGCCTGTGCCAGTGTTCTGTTCCCTTTTCTTGCTGAATAGTGTTCCATCGCGTGAAACACCACAGGTCACTGATTCGTTCACCAGTCCCCGGAACTCGATTGCTTCTGTCTTCTGACTATGAGCAATGGTGCTGTCAACACTCGGGTGCAAGTCTTTGTGAGGCCATAGATTGTGCTTCTCTTTAATACACTCCTATGGGGCCGGCACTGTGATGTAGCCAGTAAGGCCACCGCATGCAGTGCTGGCATCCCATATAGGCACTGGTTCGAGTCCTGGCTGCTCCACTTCTGATCCAGCTCTCTGCTATGGCCTGGGAAAGCAGTAGAAGATGGTTCAAGTGCTTGGGCCCCTGCATCCATGTGGGAGACCCGGGGGAAGCTCCTGGCTCCTGGCTTCGGATCAGCGCAGCTCTGGCTGTTGCAGCCATCTGGGGAGTGAACCAGCAGATGGGAGACCTCTCTCTCTCTCTCTCTCTCTCTCTTTCTCTCTCTCTCTCCCCCCTCTCCTCCTCTCTCTGTGTAACTCTGACTTTCAAATAAATAAATAAATAAACCTTTAAGAAATCAGAAATGAGTAATCTAAAACTACTGAATTTTCTAAACCCTCTAAAGCATTACTCCCAAGGATCCTATTTTAACGTAAGACATTTTTTTATAATGAGTTTTGCCTGAAACTTTGAGCTAATGAGTTTTTTTAGATTATAGCTAAGAACGTCTCACACCAGAAGGGTATTTTTGTCCACCTTTCATTTTTTAAAAAAGATTGATTTATTGTCAGAGACAGAAAGACAGAGTTCCCATTCACTGGTTTGCTCTCTAAACACCACAATGGCCGGCGTGGGGCCAGCGTGAAGCTGTGAGCTGGGAACTCAATTCAGCAGCCCGACCACATGAGTCATCACTGCTGCCTCCCAGGGTCTGTGCGAGCAGGAAGCTGAACGAAGGAACGCAAACCAGGAACTGAACCAGGCACTCCACCGTGGGGGGCAGGCGTCCCAGCGGCTGTCTGACCCCAACGCCAATGCTTGCCCCCATTTTTGTTCAAAAAACGTTTTATTTGCTTGAAAGCCAGAGAGACAGAGAGAGAGCGGCTAGCCAGACGGAGGACTTTCATGTACTGGGTCACTCCTGCACTCCTGAATGCACTGGCCAGGACTGGGCGAGGCAAAAGCCAGGAACCCAGAACTGTCTTTTGTTTTTTAAGATTTATTTACTGGGGCCGGCACTGTGGCGCAGCAGGTTAAAGCCCCGACCGGCAGTGCTGGCATCCCATAGGGGTGCCAGTTTGAATCTCAGCTGCTCCACTTCTCATCCAGCTTCTCCATTTCTGAACTAGCAGATGGAACACCTCTCTCTCTCTCTCTGTTTCTTTTTTTTTTTCTTTTTCTTTTTTGACAGGCGGAGTTAGACAGTTAGAGAGAGCCAGAGCCAGAGACAGAGAGAGACAGAGAGAAAGGTCTTCCTTTTTCCGTTGGTTCACCCCCGAAGTGGCCGCTATGACCGGCGCGCTGTGCCGATCTGAAGCCAGGAGCCAGGTGCTTCTGTTGAATTATGGGATCCAAGACCTTTCCCAATTAACCCACAAAAGACAGTCACAGATGCAAGGGTAAGAGGATTTATTATTCCATTGCCAGGTGGCTGGGGCTCCCACCACACACACAACATAGTGCAGTGCGGGGGGGGGGGGGGGGGGGGGAGAAGCCCCGCCTCTTCCTTCTCAGCGTTTTTATACACTTGGGTAAACAAGTATATTCATCATTACGCATGTATGCTAGTTCTTTTATTCTTTATATGTCAGTTACCTAAATTTGAGCGTTTTATTGGTGCATCCCAGAAGTCCGGGACTACGCGTCTCAGAGGAAGTGGTCACACAAGGAAGTAGGAGACCATTAATTTCAGGAAGTATTTACTAAGTTTCGTTTTCTGAGAATTGGGCCTTCCTGTCTTCCTGAAGTTTGTGAAGCCAGTCATGGAGGTACAACTATCTGCCCCCGACTTTTCTCACGCCGGGCATCCCGCATCAAGTCATTGAGCAAGCAGCGCAGTACAGAAGCAAAAAGCAATTGATATTCAGCATCCGCTAGTTATAGATATAGATGTAGATATAGTATAGATATAGATATTTTTTCATTTCAACACTTCCTCCTGGTCTCCCATGCAGGTGCAGAGCCCAAGGACCTGGGCCATCCTCCACTGCACTCCCGGGCTACAGCAGAGAGCTGGACTGGAAGAGGAGCAACCAGGACAGAATCCAGCACTGCAACTGGGACTAGAACCTGGTGTGCCGGTGCCACAGGCGGAGGATTAGCCTAATGAACTGTGGCACTGGCCCTCTCTCTGTTTCTACCTCTCTCTCTCTCTCTTTTTTAGAGATTTATTTATTTAATTGAAAGGCAGAGGGAGGGGCCAGCACTGTGGCGTAGTGGGTAAGGCTGCTGCCTGTACTGCCGGCATCCCATATGGGTGCTGGTTCGAGTCCAGGCTGCTTCACTTCCGATCCAGCTCTCTGCTATGGCCTGGGAAAGCAGTAGAAGATGGTTCAAGTGCTTGGGCCCCTGCATCCATGTGGGAGACCCAGAAGAAGCTCCTGACCCCTGGCTTTGGATTGGCACAGCTACGGCTGTTGCGGCCAATTGGGGAGCAAACCAGCAGATGGAAACCTCTCTCTCTCTGCCTCTCCTTTCAAATAAATAAATAAAAATCTTAAAAAAAAAAAAAAAGGCAGAGAGAGAGAGAGACACATCTTCCATTTGCTTGTTCACACCTCAAAATGGCTGCAATGGCCAGGGCTGGACCAGGCTGAAGCCAGGAGCCTGGAACTCCATCTGGGTCTCCCATGAGGGTGTCAGGGGCCAAGCACTTGGGCCATCTTGTGCTGCTTTCCCAGGCTCATTGGCCAGGAGTGGAGCAGCCTGGACTCCAACAGGTGCTCAGATGGGATGCCAGCATGGCAGGCAGCGACTTACCCTTCCATGGTACAGCGCTGGCTCCCAGGAACCCAGAACTCAATCCTGGCCTCCGACGTGGTTGGCAGGGACCCCAGTGCAGGCGCCAGTGCTGCCTGCCCAGGTGCACATAAACAGGAAGCAGGAAACAGGAGTGGAGCTGGTACTTGAACCACAGGCATCCCTCTATGGGACACAGGTGTCCCAAGTGGCATCGTAACCATTGTGCCCAAGGCCGGCCCCATTCTCCAGCTTTCGTTCTGATGAAGTCCAGTTTGCCTTTTTGCCTTCTGTCACTTCTGTTTTGGAATCATCTGTAAGAAACCATGACTTAACGGAAGATCGCAAAGATTGACTTTTTTTTTAATTTAACAGGCAGAATTAGACAGTGAGAGACAGAGAGAAAGGTCTTCCCTCTGTTGGTTCACCCCCCAAATGGCTGCCACAGCTGGAGCTGCGCCGATTCAAAGCCAGGGGCCAGGTGCCTCCTCCCGGTCTTCCATGGGGAGTGCAGGGGTAGGAGCACCCGGGCCACAGCAGAGAGCTGGACTGGAAGAGGAGCAACCAGGACTAGAACCCGGCGCCCATATGGGATGCCGGCGCTGCAGGCGGAGGATTAACCAAGTGAGCCATGGCGCTGGCCCCTGAGCTTTTTTTTTTTTTTTTAAGATTTATCTTTTATTTATTTGAAGGACAGAGTAACAGAGAGAGAGAGAGAGTGAGGGACACAGCAAGATCGTCCATCCGCTGGTTCACTCCCCAAATGGCTGCCACAGCCAGGGCTGCGCCAGGTCGAAGCCAGGAGCCAGGAGCTTCTCCCAGGTCTCCCACGTGGGTGCAGGAGCCCAAGAGCTTAGCCCACTTTCCACTGCTTTCCCAGGCCATCTGCAGGAGCTGGATTGGAAGTGGAACAGCTGGGACCTAAACTGGTGCCCGTACATTGCAGGCAGTGGCTTTACCCCCTACGCCACAGCGCCGGCCCCAAGGATTTACTCTTGTGATCTCGTCCAGGAGCGTCAGTTTCAGCTGACGTACCGGTGGATGAGTCCGCTTCAAGTGTTCAGTATGGCGGGAGGGCCTCCATAAACATGTGAGCAGTGGCACAGGACCCTAGACTGGGACCCAGGTCCTGCCAGAGTGGCCTAGCAACTTGAGGTCTCTAGAGAGTCTTTCGGTCTTGGGTTTCTGGTCGCAGAAGTGTGGAGGACAGAGCACAGGACCACCTTGCGACAGCGCCAGGGGACCATGCTGAGTCAGCAAACCTTGTTCTGTGAGGGGCAGGCTGGGGCTGGCGGCGGCGGGGTGGGGTGGGGGGGGCAAGATCACCACAAAGGTCGGGATCTGGGACTCCCCGTTCCTGGTGACTCATCACCCAGGGCCGCCTCCAGGCAGCAGGGTCTGTGAGGCAGGGGCAAGGAGAGGAACAAAGGAACAAAAGCTAATGGGTTGACCTGGGATTACTTCAGGTTACCTTTTGGCGAGGGTGATTGCACTGACTCAGGTGGTCTGGAATCTTCTGTTCTCCAGGAACACTGTTCCATTCGGGAGTCAGCTGCTTCCTTAAAGGTTCAGTCCAGTGGTATGGCGCTCAGCACCTGTGACTCCCGCTCTGCTCGGGCCCGGTGGGGCCGACAGACACAGTGGCCTCTGCGACTGTGTTTAGCATTTGGAAATGCTCACGTTCTGTCTGCCCAGCGTGTTAGAGCATTCTCACCGCCGTCACGTATGTAGTAGAAAGAGTTTTGAAGCAGTAGCTCAGCTCCGACAAAAGCAGTAAAAATGTTTTCCAGCTTGGCTGAGGCGTAATTCACATACCACACAGCGATTTCCTTTCAAGTGTGCCATGCCATGATTGTTATCAAATTTACTGAGTTGTGCAACAGGTAGTCACCGTTCCCACTCCAGCCCCAGGCGTGCAGATTGGCCTGTGCGAGGATTTCGCAGGAACAGAATTGCACACTGCGTGCTCCTCTGTGTCTGCCTGCTTTCCCTGGCCGTATTGGTTCTGAGGTTCCGCAGCCTGTGCCAGTGTTCTGTTCCCTTTTCTTGCTGAATAGCGTTCCATCACGTGAAACACCACAGGTCACTGATTCGTTCACCAGTCCCCGGAACTCGATTGCTTCTGCCTTCTGACTATGAGCAATGGTGCTGTCAACACCAAGTCTTTGTGAGGCCATAGGCTTCGCCTCTCTCTCTCTTTTTTCTTTTTAAAGATTTATTTATTTGAAAGTCAGAGTTAGAGAGAGAAGAGAGGCAGAAAGAGACAGAGAGAGAGGTCTTCCATCCGATGGTTCACTCCCCAGATGACAGAAATGGCCAGAGCTGTGCCGATCTGAAGCCAGGTCTCCCAAGTGGGTGCTGGGACCCAAGGACTTGGGCCATCTTCTACTGCTTTCCCAGACCATAGCAGAGAGTTGGATCGAAAGTGGAATGGCTGGGTCTGGAACCGGCGCCCATATGGGATGCCGGTGCTTCAGGCCAGGGCGTTAAACCACTGAGCCACAGTGCCAGCCCCAGGAACCATTACTTTTTAAAAAAGATTTGTTTTTATTCATTTCAAAGGCAGAGTTACACAGAAAGAGGCAGAGAGCTTCCATCTGCAGGTTCACTTCCCACATGCCCTCAACAACCAGGGATGGACCAGGCTGAAGCCAGGAAATGGAAACTCCATTCAGGTCTCTTAGATAGGGGGCAGGGACTCATGCATTCGAGCCATCTTTTTTGACTCCTAGGCACATTAGCAGGAAGCTGGATCAGAAGTGGAATAGCTGAGACTTGAACCAGCCGCTCCAGCGTGGGACGTGGGCATTCCAAGTGGAGGCTGTAATGCCTCCCTCCCCTGGGTGTACTTCTGACTCCAGCTTCCTGCTAACGCACACCGGGGAGGCAGCAGGTGATGGCTCAATTACTCGCGTCCCTGTCATTCACATGGCTCCTTCCTGGCTTCAGCCTGGCACAGGCCCAGCTTTTGTGGGCATTTGGAGAGTGAATCAGTGGATGGATTCTCTGTCCTTTTTTTTTTTTTTTTTAAGATTTATTCATTTATTTATTTGAAAGGCAGAGTTACAGAGAGAGGGTTGGGGGGGATCTTCCATTAGCTGGTCCACTCCCCAAATGGCCACAACATCTGGGGCTGTGCCAGGCCAAAGCCAGGAACCAGGAGCTTCTTCCTGGGTCTCCCACATGGATGCAGGGGCCCAAGGACTTGAGCCATCTTCTACTGCTTTCCGAGACCATAGCAGAGAGCTGGATCAGAAGTGGAGCAGCTAGCACTCCAACCAGTGCCCAAATGGGATGCCAACACTGCAGGCATTTGGGGAGTGAACCAGCGCATGGAAGATCTCTGCCTCTGCCTCTCTCTAACTCTGCTTTTCAAATAATAAATTTTTAAAAAGCTTATAAAAAGGAAATTTAAAAGTGTGGTGTGCAAGACTGTGGAAGGAAAACAGCAAGTGGTGAAAATTAACCCTCTATGCAATGAAGCTAATAGCCTCACAGTAAATTATGTAGAAAAATACATTCTTGGCTCTTTTTAAAGATTTATTTCTTTATTTTAAAGGCAGAGTTACACTCCCCAAATGACTGCAATGGCTAGGGGCTAGGCCAATCCGAAGCCAGGAGCCAGGAGCTTCCTCTGGGTCTCTCACGCAGGTGCAGGGGTCCAGGGACTCGGGCCATCTTCTACAGCCTTCCCAGGTGCATCAGCAGGGTGCAGGTCAGAAGTAGAGCAGCCTGGACTTGAACCAGAGGCCGTATGAGATGCCGGCGTTATAGGCCTTGGCTTTAACCTGCTGTGCCACAGCACCATCCTCAATGGTTTTAATTGCTGGGTAATAAAGTCTTCATTGAAGAAACAAAATAGAGCCAAGGAGACTTTCTTATTGTGTTAACTTGGGTAGACTGTAATCACTTTGGAAAAAATATATGATCTGAGATAGAAACAAAAATACAAGAGACCATAAACTCAGCCTGTGAGGGCACCTGGGAGGGGTGGGTCTCTAGGCCCGACAGAGCAGGCCAGGGCAAATGTCAAATGTGCTCAATAAATATTTGTGGAATGAATGCACCAGGGGGAAGGTAGGTGCTGTGTAGCACCTGTCCTCCTGAGAACAAGTCCTTGAGCAGCCATTTCCTGGAAAAACAAGAAGTGCACATGGGGAGGACACTGAGGTAAGACGCAAGTTCCATTCAACATTTGGCACCCACCCCAGTGCCTTGCTGCCCACGAGGAGGCGATGCTACTTGGCATGACTAAGCTGCTTCCTTCCAGGAACTCCACACTCCCTCCACCTGGACGCACTAGCTGGCGCCAAGCAGCACAGAGGGAGGGCACACGTGATCACATGATTCTGTGCGCGGGAGTCACCGCTCCCCTTTCAGAGCTGAAAACCAGAGGCTGAAAGGGGTTGTGTAATTTATAGCCAAACCCTGCTCCTCTCACTGAGACCACACTCAAGTCCTGAAGGAACTCAGAAGAAATGATGACTTTTCCCTGGGGTGTGCCTGGAAAGATTTCATGGAGATCATTTAAAATAGAAAGACATGGAAATAAAATAAAAATTACAAAGACGCAAGCACGTCTAGCTTTCTGCTCACGTGACCCTAGAAGGCTGGCAGGTGGTGGTCCGGGTGCTTGGGTTCCCTCCTTTTACGTTAGAAGCTCCTGGCTTTGAGCCTGGCTGATGTGGGATTTGGGGAGTGAACCAGCAGAAGGGAGCTCTCTCCCTGTATGTCTGTGTCTCTTTCTTCCAACTGAATACAAAAACAAATCAATAAAACATTTTTTAAAAGACATGAGCAACAAACAAGCAGCTCCCCAGCGCCTGCTCGTCTCCGGGACTGTGCTTATCATGTCGCTGACTCGAGGAAGATGACCGCCGCCCTGCCACAGGTGATGCAAGGGGCTCGGGGAGCCGCAGTTAGTCAGGCCCTGATTATGGGGTCACTCCCATTAGACCTCATTTGAAGCGGCTCATGTGGCAACATCGGGGCCAAGCCCCTTCCCGGGTGCACTGAGAATACGGCTGTCCGACACTTCCCAGTTCCTGAGCTACTTTTGCACACTTCCCTGTGCCCAAAGGAAGAAAGACAGTTACTCCAGGCTGCAGGGGATGACGACACCGAGCAGGCCGGCCACGCCCAGCCCCCACGCTGCGCTGCGGACGGTCCCAGGTCTGGAAGCTTCCGCGCCTCTCCCTCCTGGGCGCCTGCGTCCCGGGGAGGCATTTCCCCGCGCACACCTGCTACCGCTTCTGTGTAGATGTCCGACTCCGATGCCTCGTGGGCTGCTCTAGAGCAAAGCCCGTGTCTCACACCTCTCTGTAGCCTCAGTATTTTGACCTCTCATTACAGTCGCCTTTATTAGTACCACTTTTAAATTGTTCTCCAGAAGGAAATACGCCTGCCGTGATCCCTGTTGTCTGGGATTCGGGGGCTTCGACCCGATCTGCCACTCAATTTTTTGTTATAGGTTCTTTCCCAAGCTGTCATCCCCTCACGCCTCACGGAGTTTCGCCCAGTATCATCTCCAACGTCCGAAAGAATTCGCCCTGTACAAAGATGGCTGCAACCGCCTCACTTCCGGTATCACGTGACGCTCCCACAGCCGTCACGTGACACGCCCACCTTCTGGAGCCGGAATTAACCTCGGGGTTTGTTCGATGCCTGTCCATACCTGCATCCCTGTTTTCATTCAGTGGCTCCTCCAGCTCTCCAAGATCTGGCACCCCTGCGGGCTTTTCCTCATCCGGTGACCCTGAGGTGATGGAGCTTCCCCGTCATTCCGGAGAGGTAACTGAGCCAGGGGTCTCCGTGGCTGTGTCCTGCTGCTTCTGGACTCTTGGCCAGCCAGGCTCTGGAATTAATTGGAGGGGGTTCTCTGAACCCAGACCCTCGTGGCTTTTTGAGCAAGGCACGGATGGAGCGAGTGCCAGGTCGAGGTTGAAATGCGTGGGAAGAGGGGCGAGGAGCGTCCCGGGCTGGGCTGGGGCGGGCAGCGAGCTGTCAGCAGCAGAGGAGTTGCAGGGAGCGATGTGCCCAGGTGTCTCCGGGTCTTGTCCGGTCCCTCTTGAGGGAAGCGACTGGGCTGTGGGCACCTGTGGGCTGCCAAGCCCTGCCCAGGAGAGGGCTTGGGGGTGGAGGGCCTGCCTTCTCGTAACTCCTCATTCTGTTCTCAGGAATGTTCCAAGCACCAGGGCAGGGTAGCCATGATGGCTGCCAGCCTCACGGGGTTGCTGCTGCTTCAGGCAGTGTCATGGGCATCAGGTGAGTGAGTGAAGAAGGAGAAGGCAGCTCTCCGCCTTCTCCCTTCCAGTCCGTGGGTGACCTTTTTTGTAGGTGCTCCGTGAACTCTTTAGAGGGATTGGCGACTAACCTTGGGGTGGGGTTGCAGCGGGAAGATTTTGAATCCTGAGCAGTGTGCCCATTCTCCTCACCCTCACCCTTTGGCCCTCGCCTCTGCTCTGCCCCCTCCTTCCCAGGTGCTCGCCCCTGCATCGCCAAAAGCTTTGGCTACAGCTCCGTGGTCTGTGTCTGCAATGCCACATACTGTGACTCTCTCGACCCCCTGACCCTTCCTGCCCTCGGCACCTTCAGCCGCTACGAGAGCACACGCAGTGGGCGTCGGATGGAGCTGAGCACAGGGACCTTCCAGGCCAATCGCACGGGTACAGGTAACCACGACATCCCTCACCCCTAAGCCAGGCTGGGTCCTCCTGGAGCTAAACCATGCAGGGACCGCCATGGAGCTGCTCCCCTGGACACTGACGCCCTTTATTCCCTGTGGGTGTCCCCAGGGCTGCTGCTGACCCTGCAGCCAGAAGAGAAGTTCCAGAAAATAAAGGGATTCGGAGGGGCCATGACAGATGCTGCTGCTCTCAACATCCTCGCCCTGTCACCCGCTGCCCAAGATCTGCTTCTCAAATCGTACTTCTCTAAAGAAGGTAAGGAAGAGGACTGGCGCGTGGCTCACTTGGCTAATCCTCCGCCTGTGGCGCCGGCATCCCATAGGAGCACCGGGTTCTAGTCCCGGTTGCTCCTCTTCCAGTCCAGCTCTCTGCTGTGGCCTGGGAGTGCAGTGGAGGATGGCCCAAGTGCTTGGGCCCTGCACCCCCATGGGAGACCAGGATAAGTACCTGGCTCCTGGCTTCGGACCAGCGCAGCACCGGCCGTAGCGGCCATTTGGGGAGTGAACCAACGGAAGGAAGACCTTTCTCTCTGTCTCATGGTCTAACTCTATATGTCAAATAAAAAAAAGAAGGTGAGGAAGAGGGGGCAGGAGGACATGGAACCATCACAACTTTCCTCTTACCTTTCTCCAACATTTATTCCTCTGCTAACGGCCAGGAACATAACATTGCCCTGCCGGTCTGCTAAGTGCCTGGGGATGCTCAGGCTGACAGGGGCCTGTGCTTCCCCCAGGAGCTGGCCCAGCCCCTTCTGGCCCTGACTCAGAGATCACTGAGGCCTGGCAAATGATTAGCCTAGACCCCTGTTCTCCTGCTGACTATGAATCCCATCTCTCGGTCCTCCTTTTCTGCAGGAATTGAATATAATATTATCCGGGTGCCCATGGCCAGCTGCGACTTCTCTATCCGCGTCTACACCTATGCCGACACCCCTGATGACTTCCTGTTGCAGAACTTCAGCCTCCCAGAGGAAGACACCAAGCTCAAGGTGGGTGCTCTGGCTGCTTCAGGCCCTCATGGCATCAGTGTCTAGGGGGCTGAGAGCCTTCAGGCTGGAGCAGGCTCTAGAGAGATCTAGAACTGCCCCCTGCTCCGTCTGTCCTGAGGGTGGGAGCTGATGGCTGGACCTGACGTGCTGGTTGGGCCAGTCTGCTTGTATTCCAGCTCTGGGTGTCTCTCTCCTCACTGCCTTTGTCTCTAGATACCCCTGATTCACCGAGCCCTGCAAATGGCCCAGCGCCCTGTCTCTCTCTTCGCCAGTCCCTGGACATCACCTACTTGGCTCAAGACCAACGGGGCAGTGAATGGGAAGGGGTCAATCAAAGGTCAACCGGGGGATCTCTACCACCAGATCTGGGCCAGATACTTTGTCAAGTAAGGGATCAGCAAGGCCAGGGGGCCTGGGCTGGCCTCCCCTTTGGGCACCCTGCTCCACATCCCCATCCTCGACCTCTTCCTTCGGGGCTCTGCCTGCCCAGTTTTCCCCACTCCATCAGGCCTCCTGTTCCCCAGGGCCTTGCTCTACTTTCTTGAGCAGGATCACTCACGCCTGTCCCCCCGCCAGGTTCCTGGATGCCTATGCTGAGCACAAGTTACAGTTCTGGGCAGTGACCGCTGAGAACGAGCCTTCTGCAGGGTTGATTAGCGGGTACCCTTTCCAGTGCCTGGGCTTCACCCCTGAACACCAGCGAGACTTCATCGCCCGTGACTTGGGTCCGGCCCTTGCCAACAGTACTCACCGTGATGTCCGCCTGCTCATACTGGATGACCAGCGTTTGCTGCTGCCCTACTGGGCACAGGTGGTAAGGCCCAGGGCCTCGGTCCCTCGGTGACCCCTAAATCCAGCATCTAAAAGACTGCCAAAATCAGAGTGCCACCCCCGCCTCAATTTTTTAAACGTTTTAAATTTTTTTTCCCCTTTATTCATTTGAGAAGCAGAGAGAGAGAGAGTGAGAGAATGAGAGAATGAGAGAGTGCTCCATTTACCTGTTCACTCCCAAATTCCTATAATGGTGGGGAGTCCTGAAGCTGGGGGCTATGACCAGGTCTCCCACGTGGGTGGGAGGAACCCAATTACTTGAACTATCACTGCTGCCTCCCAGGGTGCCTTAGCAAGGAACTGGATTCACGAGCCAGAGCTAGGCACTGAATGCAGGCACTCTTGATGTAGGACAGCTTAATCAATAGGCCAAACGCCTCTGCCTGCTTTATTTTATTTATTTTTTATCTTGAAAGGCAGAGAGACAGAGGTATCCTATCAGCTGGTTCTCCTTCAAAAAGCCTGCAATAACTGTGGCTGGGCCAGGCCAAAGGCAGGAGCTGGGAACTCAATTTGGGTCTCCCATGTGGGTGATGGGATCCAACCACCTGAGCTGTCATCTCTTGTCTTCCAAGGTACACGTCAGAAGGAAACGAATCGGGAGTGGAGCTAGGACCAAAACTAGGCACTCTCATATGTGATCCCAAGCGGTGCCACGTACCTGACCCCTACCCCAACCCTTAACTTCTATGGAGCACCCAGGGCTGGGTCCAGGTACACAGGCCACCCACCACCTGCTCTGGACCTCCAGGGTCCCACAGATCCCCATGGTTGCTTTAAGTTTGACCCCCCCTCCCCAAACTGCATTCATCTCAGGACCCCTAGTTCCCCTTCCAGAACCTTCTGTGCAGCACCTGGCGTCAGTGGGTTTCCTTTCCTGTGCAGGTGCTGACAGACCCAGAGGCAGCTAAGTATGTTCACGGCATTGCTGTGCACTGGTACCTGGACTTTCTGGCTCCAGCAAAAGCCACCCTGGGGGCGACCCACCGCCTGTTCCCCAACACCACGCTCTTTGCTTCAGAGGCCTGCGTGGGCTCCAAGTTCTGGGAGCAGAGTGTGCGACTGGGCTCCTGGGACCGAGGGACACAGTACAGCCACAGCATCATCACGGTGAGCCGAGCCACCTCCCTCACACACAGCGGGCCACCCGGAGCCTCCTCTCACCCACGCTGCCGGCCTTCCTCTCTTCCCAAGCCAGCTTATCCTTGGGGCAATGTTGGGTTCCCTTGATTCTCTGCCTTTCATTTCCATTGCAGACCTGCACACCTCAGGCAGCTGCACTTGTCTCTACTTCTCAGCCCCCTTCACAAGCTTCTCTCCTTACTCAAGAGAATACCCCCCCAAGGGTGAGCCACCCACAGCTCCCATCTCCCTCCTGGGACCTCGTGTTGAGGCTTTGTCTCTTTGCCCTTGTCCCTACCTTAGAATCTCCTCTACCACGTGGTCGGCTGGACCGACTGGAACCTCGCCCTGAACCCTGAAGGGGGCCCCAACTGGGTACGCAACTTTGTCGACAGCCCCATCATAGTTGACATTGCCAAGGACACATTTTACAAACAGCCCATGTTCTACCACCTCGGCCACTTCAGGTGAATGGAGGGCGGGCACCCCCATTCCTCACCAGGCCTATCACATCCTGCACGGGGCTTACGTCACCTCACACCACGCAAGACCAGGAGGATGTTCAGGGTGGGAACCTTGCGAGAGGCACACCCACCCCCTTGCACCATCCAGGCCAAGAGTGACAGGGTGGCATCAGAGACACATAACCCGAATGCCCGGTGTTGAGGCTGGGGTGTGGGAGGGCAGGGCAGTGGCCAGTGGCACAGCTGGAGTCCGAAAGGGGTAGGGCAGGAGCTACCGGTGAGGGTGAGGGGTGGCTGACTTCTTAGGTAACGGTGCGAGGGAGGTGCCTGGAGGGCCCCTGGGCTGGCCTAGGGTCCCTGATCATGCCTGTTCCCGCAAGCAGCAAGTT